ATAACTTTATTCAATCTACTAACTTCTGAAAAATGTTCTATATTCATCTGTGCCAGTGAATGACACATTGTTTCTATTAACTATATTTTTGCACATATTCATCTCTTTCATATAGGATTCCTATAAAGCTGCTGAAACTTTAAATGATGGAAGTTTAGCTGGAACAGAAACCAATTATTAAAAACGGGAAGGATACAATTGCAGTCGCTCTCAGTCAGAGCTGTAATACCCCTCTCTGGGTACCCTCCACATCAGGTATTGAAAAGCAGAGCCAATCTAGTAACAAAACAGTTTAGAAAGGATTCACAGTATAAGAGAGATGGGACTAATTAGGCAAGGAGCCATTGATCGTTGTGAGGTTTTTGCAGGAGCAGAGGAAGGTGGCTAGCATCCAAACCCTACATTTCCTGGAATACAAAGAAAAAAGCAGTATCTAAAATGGTAATGTTTGAATGCAGATTGAAAGATTGCCATGCTGTGACTATGTTATAGAGAACAAAAATAAAAAAGACAGTTAAGTAAAAAACTGTCAAGTGAAAAAAAACCAAAACATTGATTTTTTAAAAATTTGGTTTGTGGAGCGAAACAGGAGTTTGATGACGCTGAAGATTCCGCATGTGCTTAGGCTATGGCGACACAGAGTAAGTCAGTCTGGCAAGAGGCGCCTTAGTCTTTCCAAACTGCTTCACTGCAACCAGGAGTATGAGCTCTAGTCATTAATTAGTTTTCTGCATTAATTCACTCTTAGTTTCTCTTTCTAAGGACGTGATCTCAAAGACACTTGAAGTCCAGGGTAGGTTGTTTTTCACTTAGCAGACTGTCTCACAGTCTAAGTCTCAGGACTACTCTGCCTAAATGCAAAGTATCCTAATGCAGACTCATAACTGAAGGACCACAGTCATCCCACACTGCCTTTTATAGTCAATGGATACCTGCCTACATGCACTGAGATTGTACCTAGGATAGATTGCTTTCTGGAGTTGTTTCTCCCTTTATTGACTCCAAGAACTCAGGGAGAGTAGGCTCCTAATTAGCTACTACAGGTGGTTAAAGCTAAATTGGTTGAAATTTGGTCTCATTACGCACACAAGACAGTTATTTGTTTGAAGATACTATATGAAACAAAACATGAATTCAAAATGAGAAATACGTATTTATCTAAAATAAAATTAAAAAATTATTTACCATTTCATTTAGGGGTACAATATCACTAATCTGAAGAGGAATTCCCAGAGCTTAATATGACTAATACATAGTTTAACAGAATTAATGTTTTATATAATATCCTATACATCAAGAAAAACATATATAATGACTAAATCAGTATTTGTTTGTTTAGAGAAGATAAAGCACATATGTTTGAGATCAAATCAGTCCCTTCTTTGGAAGAATGTAAGATTTTCTTGAGATGATTCCAAGTATTGACTTAGCCTCACATTAAGAAAAAAAGAAACTACTATGCTGACAGCTCTGCCTTCATGTTCCATCCTCTGAAGCTGCAATAAATACATAAAAAATTCTTTTTCCACAGAAGGAAGGGTCTTTTTTTAGGTTAATGGTGGTTATACTACCTCTCAGGTTGACTTTAGAATTTAAAAGAAATGGTACATATGGTGCACTTCCCCCACAGTATGTCTTAATCCCTGATCAGTGAGAGGTCATTTTTTAATGTCCAGAGTAATCCATTCCTCCACATAGAAAGAAGGACACCAAGCACTTGCATTGCAGAGAGACCTGAGCCTATTTTAGCAAACTCCCAGAAAGATGGCTTTATGTCTTGGGAAAATTATCAAAAGCCTTCCACTTATTCTGTCTGGCCCAAAGCAGCTAGATTTAGACAAATAGAAATCTGTGAGGGCAAGGAAACTGCAGGCTATGACTATAGGTACTTGGGCTGATTGCATGTTTGACCAAAGCTCTATTTTTTTATAATTGCAAGGTAGAAGCAAACATTTTCCCTTGTGAGATACATTCTTAATCTTAATCTCACAACCTAGTTCGTCAATGAGGTTGCATTCTAGAAATTCTTATATTGGATTTTTGCTACTTAGAAGTTCTCAGGAATGTTCCCTTCATTAAAAAAACAAACAAACTAAGCTCAAAAAAAACCAAAACAAACAAACCTCAAAACAAAACACCATCTGCAGTGTTCTTCTCTCAAAAGAAAACTGTCTTGATACTAGAGAAATTAAAAAGAGGGAATACATATGTAGTCTCAGTCTGTAAAGAAAACTTGCAGTTTCAAACATTTTAAATATTTAAAAAAATAAAAAAAATAATTCATTAATATAAACTTCTGCATCATAGCTGGTATTTATTTAATCCTCAGAGAGTTCTTTGTGTCTCATGACTTCAGAATGAATTAAGAAACAGCTCATCTTAGAGCCCATTGCGCATTCCCCTTAGTACCATTTTCTTCTTTTCCTACAATTACTAGGATTTATTTTCTTCCCTTGAAAATAGGATTTTTGTCTCATTTGAGTCCCTGCTACTTAATTCCTACTTGAAGTCATAATCCTCCCTGTCACATCAGACCAATCTCTTTGTAGCCAATTCTGATTTCACAAGCAGGATTTTGACTTAGGAAGAACTGATTATTTAGGTACACCTTATGTAGCAGGATTTAGTTCTTCTGAAACATACAAAGTAAGGAATTCTTCAGCCAGACAATTTTAATGAACTACACATTTTGAAAGTTTGAGTTCCTGGCTATCGCTTCTCAGTAACACATTAATTAAGGAGTCAATAGAGTGCAGTCTCTTCCTTCCAAGATACTGTTTTGGAGAGATGCCTCTCTGATATACAGGCTGTCCACAAAAATTTAAGGTGAGGTGATCATTTTTCCAGTCAATGGTGTCAGAAAATTCTCTAAACCTCAACCGGTTTCAAACCTCTGACTTAAAACAGACCAAATGTTATAATGTGGTGTCCAAAACTGCCCAAAAATATAGGGTTTGTTTGGGTTTTTTTTTCAATTTTTTGATAAAATGTCTAAATTTCTGAAAAAAACCTCTAAGGTTGTAACAGGAATCCAGGCGTTTCTTTAATGGAGCCCATTCTCATGGGTTCTCTCTATGGATGGAAAGTCCTTTATTGCGAGACTTCTGTTCAGGAAAAGCTGCAAAATAAAAAATCAACTTAAAGCAGCAACTGATTTTTGTAAAGCTAGGCATGTTAAAAAGATATGAGAAGTTATTGATTACAAAAAGAATCCATAGCTGACAAGGAAACATCTTGATTTTCAGGAAAGGAAGTCCTGTATTATTTTCTCAGTGCTGAGCTGACAGGATCATAAATTGGGATTTATTAATTTTACAGGACTGTCCTTCTGTAACACCAAACAAAACCTCCCATTTCGTATGGGAGAAGAATATCCATATCACTGAAAGCTCAAAACCTATAGGTATAGGTATACCAATAACTACAGGTATACAAAGGATTTCAATGTAATGGATTAATTTATAGGATATCATGTACTGAATATTTGAACTAGAAGAAAAATAGCAAAGCAACAAACCAACAAACAACTTCAGTGAATATACAAAAAGTATCTTTTATTTAATGTGATATTTTATTTCAAGTGACTTGATAATATGAAATCGGTCATCATCACAAGTTTTCCTATATTAGAGTTTGCACTCAAACATTTTTCTTTTAAGTATTTCTTTTAAGTATTACTTGTAGGAACAGTTTAGGCTGCAGCTTAGACTACAATACTGAAAGTGTTTATCTTTTTCACGGGAACTTAGAAGTGAATATATACTGAAGCTGAGCATATTAAAATACAGAAAAGAGTTAACTCTCAAGCTCCAGTGTGTATTTGGTTTATTTTTGCTTTGGGTTCTTTAGCATGTATCTCAAATAGCTTATCAGAGTGGAAGGTTTGGTCCTAAAAACTTCACATATAAAGGAACCCATTTATTCCGTGACTCTTTTCGAAACCTCTTACTACCAAACGGAAACACAGGCAAATTAGGAGGAGGAATACCTTCTGGTATCTTCCTTGCAAGGTCTGCGAAAAAGACATACAGTGGTTTCAGATTCTTGACTGAAAAATATAGACCGTTCCCTCTGTTTATCGGCACTATCAGAGCGGCAGGCAGAGCTCGGGACATTACGTCTAGCCCGGAGATGCGGCGGTGCGGCGCTCGGCGGGGCCGGGCCGTGGCGGGCGGCGGCGGCGCGGGCAGAGCGCAGGGGGTGCGCGGAGCGGGGGCTCGCCCGGCCCCGGCGGGAGCGCACATCCCGTCATCCACGCGCCATCTAGCGTCGGGAAAGGGGACCGGGCTCGGCACGGGAGCGGAACGGAGAGGAGGAGGAAAAGGCTCCCACACCCGTCCCAGCTCTCGCCGTTCCCAAAGCTGGTAAGAGCCATTTGGATATTGCGACCAGAACTCCGGAGTGGCTCGGGGCGGGTTGTGAGGAGCATCGCTACACTTCGCTCCCAGCCATCTCATTCCCCCTTTTTTGCAGTGAACGGTTCCCCTCCCCTTGAAAGCAGCTAGCGCTCCCCAGAAATCCCCTCGGTACCTCACCTAAGCTATCGCCGTCGCCCGATCCCTACCCAAAGCACCGCGAACTCCGCTGCCGGCGGAGGGGTTGGACCGCACGATCTCGGCCCCGCAGAGACCCACACCGGCACACACACACCGGCATGCATACATGCATACATACATACATACATACACACACACACACACCGGCACACACCGGCACACACGCATACCGGCGCGCACGCAGGCACAGCCGCGCTCCCTGCCCTGCCGCCGCCGGCGCAGCTGCCCGCAGCCCTTTTGTTTCGCCCGCGGAGCGATGTCCTGCCCACCCGCCCCGCGCTTCCCCGCGCCCGCACCGCCGCCCGCCCCTACGCCCCTCGCCCGCGGGCGGCGGCGGCGCGGCGGGGTGGCATGGCCCGCCCGCCTTGGGGGAGGCAGCGGGAAGCCCCCTTCCCCGCCCCCGGCCGCGCCAGGGCCTCGCCGCTGCCGCCCGCAGCCCGCGGCAGGGCAGGGGCAGCGGCCGCAGCCGCAGCCGCGCCTGACAGCGGCCCCGCGCCGCAGGATCCGCGCCCCGCAAGGACGTGCTCCACGAGCTGCCAGGCGCGATTACGTTGTTTTTTTCCCCCCACCCACCCCTTGAACTTGTTGCTTGGCGCTCGGCGGTGGCGGAGGGGGGTGGGGGTGGGGGAAAGCCTTATTATCGATGTCCCTTTGGATGCGATCAAGCTTTCTCAGGAGCAACTACTTCCCCGCCGTTCCCGGCGGGGCGCGGAGATCTAGCGGCAGAGCTCGTATTTCCAAAAGTCTCTATGCAACTGAGCGCTCTCGCCAGACTTTCACAGGTAGGTGCCGCAGACTGGGCACGTCTGGAGGGATTCGAGAACTGAGCCGAGGGGAAGGGGCGAGAGGAAGGAGGCGGGGGTACGGGGGGGGGGGGGGGGGGGGGGGGTGGT